AAAAAAAAAAAATTATGACTTAAAAAAATGAAGTAGAATGTTTTATTACTAAGTTGTTTTTTATTTTGCGGCAAAACTGTTGCTTCACTGTATAAAAATAGTATTACCCAAATGCAGTATTATACAAAATTAAGATAGTTTTTTTTTTTTTTTTTGAGACAAGAATCATTTACTATGTTGCCCTTGGTAGAGTGCCATGGTGTGACAGCTCACAGCAACCTCCAACTCTTGGGCTTAAGCGATTCTCTTACCTCAGCCTCTCAAGTAGCTGGGACTATAGGAGCCTGCTGCAACACTCAGCTATTTTTAGAGATGGGGTCTGACTCTGGCTCAGGCTGATCTCGAACATATGAGCTCAGGCAATCCACCTGCCTCAGCCTCCCAGAGTGCTAGAAGATAGTATTGTTCTTTATTTTACACTGTATAACTGACAAAAACTTTTCTCTATTGCCAGTTTTTTTTTTAATTTTTTTCTGGCTGGGCCAAGTGGCTCATGCCTATAATCCTAACTCTGGGAGGCTGAGGCAAGTGGATTCTTTGAGCTCACAGGTTTTGAGACCAGCCTGAGCAAGAGTGAGACCCCATCTATAACAATAGCCAAGCATTGTGGTAGGCACCTGTAGTCCCAGTTACTCAGGAGGCAAAGACAAGAGACTCGCTTGAGCCCAAGAGTTTGAGGTTGCTGTGAACTGTGACGCCATGAGACTCTACCGAGGGTAACATAGTAAGACTCTATCTCAAAAAAAGACAAAAAAAAATTTTTTTTCCTATTCTCTCAGTTATTTTCAATATAAATCATTAAGAGTTTTGACCCAAATCCAGGGATTTAATCAAGATTAAAGAATGTATCATTATAAATACATAATATTTATAATATTATGTAAAGTTTACGATAACAATATAAGATATATCTTGGTTTCACTTTATTTTATTTTTTGAGACACAGTCTTACTATGTTGCTCTCAATAGAATGCCGTGGCATCACAGCTCAGAGCAACCTCCAACTCTTGAGCTTAAGCAATTCTCTTGCCTCAGCCTCCCAGGTAGCTGGAACTACAGGAGCCCACCTCAACACCCAGCTATTTTTTGTTATAGTAGTCATTGTTGGTTAGCAGGTCCGGGCCAGATTCGAACCCACCAGCCCTGGGTGTATGTGGCCGGTGCCCTAACCACAACCACTGAACTACAGGTGCCAAGCCAGAATTCTTTTTTAATGAGAAAATGTAATCATGCAAACTCTCTGCTTAACTGTTTTCTGTGAATAAAGTCTAGAATCAAGTCTCCAGATGTTTCCATGGCCCATAGCCTGCCTTCCAGCCTTGTTCTCATCATGCTTCAGCTGCAATGATCTCATGGTTCCTCTTTCTGGAACATACTCTTTCTTCTGTTGCCAACATTCTTTCCCCCTTAAGTTAGTGATAATAGGCTCGGCGCC